CATCAAAATTAAACGAAATAACATTTGAAATATATGAGTTTGCATGTAATGTATGAATATAATATACAAGTTTCACTTTTTAAATGGAATTACTGAAATAAATCTACTTTTTCATGATATTCTAATTTTATGACCAGCACCTGTATATGTGAGTTGTGTTTTAGCACTTTGGCAAAATTTATCTTCTTCATGTCAAACTGCTGCAGAGATAACACCCACCTCCATGTAGTTTTTGTACTTGATTTGTTCGGTGGACTTCAAGGTTTCAAAGACTTTTATGACAGAATGTTTTGCAGCAATGAAAGATGCAACGTTAGTCTGATCCGACACTTCGGTACTGTGATGAATTCAATAATTTACCAGTTTCCAAAACCCTAAATGACAAAATAAATCAATTTTAGCTACAGAAATGAACACAAAAAGATCTTACCGGCAGGTTTGGCACAAAGTAGCAACAGAATGTCTTTTCRCTGAGACCGTTGTAGCTCTTTTGTTTACACACTTGTCATGGAGATGGAGCAAAGTCCAACATAAATTAACAGTACAAACTGTTCGCCTGGAAATGATGCAGATATGGCTTCAGTTAAGATGTTAATTTCATAGTTTGTTGCTTAACTTTAGATTAAAGCAGAGTTTTGTTAACTGAATTTACAGACAATGGGTTTATGTTGCAACCAGATGAGATTTTTCTGCTCAYGACTAAAAATAAATAAATAAATAAAAACAAGCAAGAGACTGAAATCCAGAAAACACCTGTCGTTAATTTAATCTGAGTTGGAAGTGCAAAGGAGAGAAATCCATGACAAGACAGCAGCTTTCTTCAGCGACTTCCACCAAGTTCTAATTTCAAAAGCCCTTTAGTGAAAGTAGTTGTGACATCTTTTTATCGACATTAAAATACATTCATCAAATGTAAAAACAGCAGAACGGCATGCACTCATGCGTCACAAACATGTCCATCAACATGCAATCCAATATGGACCCAAAATTCAGCTCTGTGGGTGAAACAACCCAGCGTTTAGGAACTTGTATTTGACATCAACCGTATATCAGTTTGCTGCACACACAGCATTCGTTTGGCATCAAAACTTCATATTTTTGTCGCTCCGGTGTATTAAAAACAAGTTCTAACTGGAACGCAGAATCTTGTGAGGTTGTGCTAAAGTGTCGTGTGGCAACAAGGTGAAATCGACAGAAATCGCTGCAACTTGTGCAGAAAATGGAGGAACATTACATCAGAACAGTCGCTTTGTGCACGAGTTTATCCACACGGCACAGCTCGGTGCGTTTGAAGCCCTTGAAGGGAAAACAGAAAATGGGGACATTCAGCAGCGGAGCTACTGCGTGGTGATGAGGTGGACGATCATGCGGATGATGCGGGAGCCGCGGGGGCAGCTGCACAGGTCCATGCTCGGGTTCCTGATTTTATCCTCCAGCAGCTGGTCCAGCTCCCAGCGCAGCTCCTTCACCAGCTCAGCCACCTGGGAAACAAACGGTTCATTTGTCAAGAAAAACAAATAAATAAAACACTTCTTCTGTTTCTATTTGCAAAACTAACATAATGTCATTCTGTCATCAAAAAACCCCAGAGTGTTTCATTCATTGAGAAATGTTTGAATCTACTGTGGTAGCCATGTGGAGCTGCTTAAACCTTAAATATATATTACCGGATTGGGCCTCAGGTGACCTGGGCGTGCTTCACAAGTGGGATTTTAATGCTAATGCTAACCATTGAAATCAATGAGCAGAACGTAGAGCGGTGCAAACAAACGCTTTATAAAACAGACAAATGGTACAAATACTATGCTATAAATTACATGGATTTTTACATGTTAACAAGAGCTAAAAGGGTGATGTTTCACAGGTAAATATTATCCATATTTAAYCAAAATTAATTATTTTAATCGTAAAACCTGTGTGCTAACATTAAAAGCTTCAATTTTCATGTTTATTCTTATTTAAAATCGATTTTATCTGTTGTTAAATATATTATTTGCATGTAAAATATGGACTTTATTTGGTTGCTCACTAGTTAGACTGCATAATAATTCAGAGATTATGATGCAAACTCACTAATGTAATGATTGAGCATCTTAAAACATTAAATAGTCACGTTGTCACACAGCTTTATTCAGATATTATATTTTTTACATCCAGTATTTGTGTTTTCCAGCTGTGGGTCGGCGTCAGATACAGCCTGCATCATGAAGCTGAAGAAACGCAAAATACTTATTTTAAGCCACTTTTAATCAATTAAATTAGTTATTTATTTTAAATTTCCATAACTATAAAATTCACAATTTCCTCAGCTTTATTTTGAACCATAGTTTATAAACATCGAGCAAGAAATAAGAAATTTATAAGAGTTTTTCATCAGGATGACGCCTCACAGTCCATTGACATCCATTCATTTTGTTGAGGCTCCTCAAGGCATAACAGAGCTCTAGTGTGTGCACATCGATGTAGCAACGTGCTAGCCACGCCCAATCCAGTAATATATATCAATGGCTTAAWCGCTTATTGGTACAAAGCTCCGCCTATTTGCACAAAGCTCCTCCCTGGAGCTCAGTCTGCAGCAGAAAGCACCACTAATTGGGGCAGCAACAGTTAGCAAACACCTGGTRGAACTGCTMCTCTTTTTAGCTTGCAACTACAAAACATGGCTTCATAGTGATTTATATTTATGGTTTCTTAAACACCAACGTTATCTTTGAGAGGATGACTGGGAGACATAAACAAGCTGAAACATCTTGTAAGAGACTCTGTATTTAGTGTACTGTCCGGGTCTGACATTGGATCACACCAGTGAGGTTCAACTGCATCCTGAGTTGCCATTTTCCAAAACATTTTGTAACTACTTTTGATGCCTTGTTGAAATTTAAAGTACCGTAGTATTCAATCAAATGTAGGAGAAAATTTGAACATAAACTCTTTTCCTCTCAACTCATACCAAGGTTAAAACTTCATTTTTCCATCTTTAAAAGAGACCAATTATGGGTCCTAGAAATGTTTATGGTGTGTCTGTGGGCTATCCAGACCATGTTCATTCAATTTAATGCACAAAATAATCCTCAGATAATAAAATTTCCCATTTTCTAGTTCTGCCTGCTCTGACTTCCGTTCAGAAGAGCTGTTTATGTTAATGAGCTCTGTTGGTAACGCCCTCCAAAATCTGTTGACATTAACTCCGCTCTCCAAAGCCAGTGTTTACGTTAGCATGGCTAATAATAGCAGAAGCTCTGTTGTACAACTTTATACCCTGAGTCAGACCCAGAGGCAGAGTCGTGGTCACAGCTTCTTTTTTTTCTCCCTCCTCTGCTCTGCGCTCACTCTGCATGCTGTTACCAGAGCAGGGAGCAGCAGCGGTCAAAATACCTCAGAAACCCGAACAAATAGGTTTTAACAAGGCTTTAATAAGTTAAACAATAGAGGTAAATGAGAAAACGTGTTCATAACGAACAAAAATTAATAATTAAATTGTGTCCATGCCAGTCTCAAACCCTGGTCTCCAGCTCTCTGGTCCAACACTCTACCCATTGCCCTATTGGAGGCTTGTTGTGAGATGAGCTGCGCACTGCACAACAACGATGACGGCTTTTTATACTGAGGAGGTGGAGTTTCACCCGGGGGTTGCTAGATAAGGGGCTGAACGCAGGTTCTGGTGGGTTGTCGTACGGCTTGTGACATCATGAAATGTAGGAAGTATAAAACTTGTCGTTAATATACATTAAAAATACATTTACTTACAGTAAATATGCCCCTGGGTGCATTGTTTTGGTCCTAGGACTGTTTTTTTAAGAAGTACATACCCAAAGTTGAGTAAAAAAAAAACCTTTAAAAAGTGAATTTTGCATAATAGGTCCCCTTTAAAGTTGACRACTCTCTTCTGGTTTATTCTAACTGGTCTCTCGTGTTCCCCSTTTGAGACTTACGGAAATGTTAGTTCCTCAAACCATACATTTAGTTTACAAGGAGCTGAGGCTCGACGGTCCAGGGAAACAGGAAGTAAATGAACTGTTCTTATATTATGCCTTTCTATCCAACCAGGATCCTCATAGCGATTTACAATTAAAACACAAGGAAGGGGTTTCCACGATGGAGCTGAGGAAAACCAAATGTTGCAGAAAGCTTCAAATGTGTTGGACAGAAATCGAGTCAAAACCTGATGTGAAGCTGCGGCAAACCGGATCCATCCATCGTCCAGCGAGATGATGAACTGTCCTCTCTCCAACTCCACGTTGACCTGACCACCTCCTAGCAGCACCAGAGGGTAGACGGACACCATGCTGCAGTCCCGGATGAAAACGCGACTCGTTTTCACCTTCTCGTGGTAAACCAGGTAGGGGCTGTCGTAGTGGCGAACCTGAGAAAAAAAAAAGAACTTCAGAGTCGTGTTTTTTTTTTATTTTTATAAACTATCAGTTCTTCCTGGTTTTTATCTCACTGTGTAGTTGACAGACGAGGGGTGGATGTGAACGCAGCCGTCGCTTTTGGTCACGAAGCGCAGCTCGTTAGCTTTCGGCTGCATCTTCATGGCTCCTTTGCTGGTCATCTTATAGTTCCCCTGAGGGGCTCGGACCTGGATCAGGAGCAGGATTATCCAATTTATTTCCTGCTAATTATTATTTTACAGACAGACAATGAACACAGACCTGAACCACGTTCGGATAGAGCGCCGCGCACAGCATGGCCGACATCAGCCGGATGTTTTCTGAGTTGAGGTTGGCCTGGGAAGCAAAATATTCACAGCTTTGAAACACTTTCTTTAAAGGGGCAATATCATGTAAAATCAACTTTTTTGAGTTTTATATCATGATATAATGTTACACTCTCATAAAAATCATGCCCAAAGCCTTGCTTTGACTCATTCATGCATGTTTGAGAAATCCTGCAGCATTTTTAGGAAGCCATGCTGAGGAGCAAAACGACAGGTGGGGACCAGAAACGCCCCTGGGACGTGTCTTTAAGCCGAAATTCCTCATGGCAGAGCACCCCCCCCACACACACACACACACCCCACCCATGACTCCTGCAGGCTC